CGCCACCATGCCCAGCTAATTTTCTGTATTTTTAGTAGAGACGGGGTTTCACCATGTTGACCAGGATGGTCTTGATCTCTTGACCTCGTGATCCACCCGCCTCAGCCTCCCAAAGTGCTGGGATTATAGGCTTGAGCCACCGCGCCCGGCCAAGGCAACATATTATTATGTGATTTATTGGTGGGCTTTTTTTTTTTAAGATGGGGTTTCACCATGATGGCCAGGCTGGTCTTGTACTCCTGACTTCAGGTGATCCACCCACCTCAGCCTCCCAAAGTGCTAGGATTACAGGTGTGAGCCACTGCGCCCAGCCTATTAGTGGGCTTTCTAATGTAGCACTGGTGGAGAAGATGTTGCTACTGCAGCTCAGATTGTAGGAAAAAATTTCCCCTTGAAATTGCTTGCCTTTATCCCCTAAGGTTGGCCTAGAACATTAGATCCAAAAAGTCATAACTTGTCATGATGCCATTAATGGCCGCATTGCTTGTTAGAATTCCTACTGTCATCTCTAGCTAAGTTTTCCTTAGAATACTCTCTCTGCTGGTTCCTCTGCAACTTGATAAATTATTTGGCATTCAATGCCATGATATTTCATGCACTGCACAGCTCCCAACTAGAATCATTTGCGTAGTGTAAATCTCCTTTAGCGCTCATTATTAAATCAGTAGGCTATTCCTTAAAATCACTTCCTAAAACGTCTTTGTCAAACATTTGGGAGGCTTCTGGTTTAAATTTGTCTGATATTAATTTCTCACTCCTTACAACTTAGGCAAACTTTGAAAGCAGATTTGATGTGAAAATGCTGGAGAGCTTGCTTAACTCAATTTCTGCACCAGTCTCTTTGCAAAAGCTGTGCCCATGGTTTAAAAATGATGTGATTCCATTTGTAAGAAGGACTGTGCCTGAAGGACAGGTGAGTTGTCTTAATTATTTCCACTCTTGAGGACTTTATTTCATATTTTACATTAGGTCATTGAAGATTAAGTCACATTAACACCAGCTAGTTGAACAGTTAGTTAACTAACACCAGTGTTAATTAAATTGTCTCTTAAAAGACAATTATAGTGGTTCAGAATGAGATTCTGTCATTTGCAACAACGTGGATGGAACTGGAGATTATTATGTTAAGTGAAATAAGCCAGGCACAGAAAGACAAACATTGTATGTTCTCACTTATTTGTGGGATCTAAAAATCAAAACAGTTGAACTCATGGACATAGAGAGTAGAAGGATGGTTACCAGAGGCTTGGAAGGGTTGCGGGGTGATCAGGGAGAAGTGGGTATGGTTAATGGCTATAAAAGAAATATTTAGAAAGAATGAAGCTGGGTATGGTGGCTCATACCTGTAATCCCATCACTTTGGGAGGCTGAGGTGGGTGGATCACCTGAGGTCAGGAGTTTGAAACCAACCTGACCAACATAGTGAAACCCTGTCTCTACTAAAAATACGAAAATTAGCCGGGTGTGGCGGCATGCACCTGTAATCCCAGCTACTTGGGAGTCTGAGGCAGGAGAATTTCTTGAACCCAGGAGGTTGCAGTGAGCTGAGATTGAGCCATTGTACTCCAGAAGGAGCACAAGTGAAACTCTGTATCTTAAAAAAAAAAAAAAGGGAATGAATAAGACATGCTCTTTGATTGCACAATAGAGTGACTATAGTCAATAATAACTTAATTCTACATTTATTGCTTATAGCCATTACTGGAAAAGGAAAAAAAAAATTCTACATTTAAAAATAACTAAAAGAGCCTAGGTGCAGTGGTTCATTCCTGTAATCCTAGCACTTTGGGAGGCTGAGGCAGGTGGATCACGAGGTCAGGAGTTCGAGACCAGCCCGGCCAATGTGGTGAAACCTTGTCTCTAATAAAAATACAAAAATTATCCGGGAATGGTGGCAAGCACCTGTAGTCCCAGCTACTCGGGAGGCTGAGGCAAAAGAATCACTTGAACCTGGGAGGGGGAAGATGCAGTGAGCCAAGATTGAACCACTGCACTCCAGCCTGAGAGACAGAGGAAGACTCCGTTTCAAAAAAAAAAAAACTAAGTGTAACTGGATTGTTTGTAACACAAAGGGAATGGATACCCTATTCTCCATGATGTGATTATTTCACATATCATGCCTGTATTAACATATCTCATATACTCCACAAGTATGTACACCTGCTGTGTACCCACAAAAAAAAAAAAAAAAAGACAATTGTAGATAAGACATTTATGGACAAAATAAATTTCTAAAGGAATAAAAGAAAATCATGGAGGTTTTTAGTTACATCAGTGATTATCCATTAAGAATTTTGTTTTTAAATAATCTGTTTCAGATAATTCTTGCAAAATGGTTGGAACAAGCAGCCAGGAACCTTGAATTAACTGATAAGGTAATACTGATTTAATTAACAGTAAAAAGGCATTTTTCACACTTCCAACAGCATAAAACATTGTTTTGAACTGCCTGTAATATTTTTTAAAGGCAAATTGGCCAGAAAATGGACTTCAGTTGGCAGAGCTATTTTTCACAGCAGAAAAACCAGATGAGTTGGGATTGGCATCTTCTTGGCGGTGGATTTCCTTGGTATGTTGTGGAAAACAGATTTTTAGTAATCAAACAGTCAATTTACCTGAAAGCGTTTGTCTGCATGTAGGTGAAGTATCTGGAAATAAATATATCATCTTCTTAAACTTTCTGTTTTTTTGTTCCTTTGTTTTGTGCCTTTCAAATCCACATGAAAGAAATTTTTTTTTTTTTCCTTTCTGATATTTGTGTTACAACTTCAACCTATTTTATTTATTTATTTTTGAAACAAGGCCTCACTCTGTTGTCCAGGCTGGAATGTAGTGGTGCGACATTCCAGCTCACTGCACCCTTTACTTCCTGGGCTCAAGTGATCTTCCCACCTCTGCCTCCTAAGTAGCTGGGACTACCTGTGTGCATCACTACGCCTGACTGATTTTTGTGTTTTTCGTAAAGACAAGGTTTTGCCATGTTGCTAAGGCTGGTCTTGAGCTCCCGGGCTAAGCGATCCACCCACCTGGGCCTCCCAAAGTGCTAGAATTGTAGGTGTGAGCTATGGTGCCCAACCCCCTCAACCCATTTTTTGTTTGGTTGTTTGAGATGGAGTCTCACCCTGTCGCCCAGGCTGGAGTACAGTGGTGCAATCTCAGCTCACTGCAACCACCACTTCCTGGGTTCAAACAAGTCTGTCTAAGCCTCCCACGTAGCTGGGACTACAGGTACCCGCCACCACTTCTGACAAATTTTTTTGGAGTTTTAGTAGAGTCAGGGTTTTAACAAGTTGGTCAGACCGTTCTTCAAACTCCTGACCTCAAATTATTCACCCTCCTAGGTCTCAAAAAGTGCTGGGATTATAGGTATGAGCCAATGCGTCTGGCCCCCCTCAACCTATTTTAATGAGCACTTTTTCTCTGTTGAACCAACCAGAAGGGGAACTATACAAATATTCTGCTAAGTGGTATAACTGGGATTTTTCTGCCTTAGCAGCATTTGACAGTCCTTTGAAAAATAAATCTTGGCTTGGCACTGTGGCTCATGCCTGTAATCCCAGCACTTTGGGGGGCCAAGGCGGGTGGATCGTTTGAGGTCAAGAGTTCAAGACCAGCCTGATCAACATGGTGAAACCCTGTCTCTGGTAAAAATACAAAAAAAAAATAGGCATGGTGGTAGGTGCCTGTAGTCCCAGTTATTTGAGAGCCTGTAGCAAAAGAATTGCTTGAACCTGGTAGGCAGAGGTTTCAGTGAGCCGAGCATGACTCCATCTCCAAAAAAAAAGAAAAAAATTAATCTTTTCTTTTTTGAGACAGTCTTGCTCTGTTGCCCAGGCTGGTGTACAGTGGCACGATCTTGGCTCACTGCAACCTCCCACTCCTGGGTTCAAGCAATTCTCCTGCCCCAGCCTCCCAAGTAGCTGGGATTACAGGTGTGTGCCACTACATCTGGATAATTTTTGTGTTTTTAGTAGAGACAGGATTTCACCATGTTCGTCAGACTGGTCTTGCACTCCTGACCTCAGGTGATCTGCCCTCTTTGGCCTCCCAAAGTGCTAGGATTACAGGCTTGAGCCACCTAACCTGGCCTAGTATTAGTTTTCAAAGGTTATATCTATCAAGTCAACTTTTCTATATATGAGCTTTTTCCTCTTGCTGTAAAACATTGTTTTTATCTGTTCCCTCTTGGTTAACTTTTATCAATATTGAAGGTTGTGTTCCTCGTATGTAATTTTAGGAAATGTTATACCTTTATAACTGGTTGTGATATATAATCTCTTTGGATAGATGGAATACTGGGTGCAAGCCAAATGATGCTGTGTACTGTGTATACTTGGATTCTGAAAAATCCAAGTATACACGGTACAGTAAAGTTGCAGATTTCCTCTTGTGTACATAACCAGGGTCATTTCTTATTTTATCTGAAAGAATTCTGATTCCATTTCCCTCTCAAACTTTTCTTTTATATCCGTAACAACTTTAACACTTTTGTTTTAGAAGGATTATCAGAACACAGAGGAAGTATGTCAGCTAAGGTCTTTGGTAAATAACTTGCGAGAGTTGATCACCTTGCATAGGAAATACAACTGCAAATTAGCCCTATCTGATTTTGAGAAGGTAAAGTCCAAGCTCATAATAATTATTTTGTATATCAAATTATGGGTAGAGTCTGTATTTATGCCATCTTTCTTTTGGCATCCAGGAAAATACAACCAGCATAGTGTTCCGAATGTTTGATAAAGTGCTGGCCCCAGAGCTTATTCCCTCCGTCCTAGAGAAGTTTATAAGAGTTTACATGAGGGAACATGACTTGCAGGAGGAGGAGCTTCTCTTGCTGTACATAGAGGTAACTTTTCCTTTAGATCTAGTCTTATTTCTTGGATCTATGCGGTGTAGCACTGTAGTAAATATTTAACTTTAAGGAATGTCATATGCTTTATTAGTCGGACTCATGCAGCATATTGAATTGGTTAAGAATGTGGGTTAATTGTGCTACTAACTCTCTTGAGCAAAGGGTGATATATTAGGACTGTAAACTCAGAAAATTGAGACAGGTCTCAGTTAATTTAGAAAGTTTATTTTGCCGAGGTTGAGGACGCACCCATGACACAGCCTCAGGAAGTCCTGATGACATGTGCCCAAGGTGGTTTGGGCACAGCTTGGTTTTATACATTTTAGGGAGACATGAGACATCAATCAGCAAATGTAAAAAGTACATTGGTTTGGTCTGGAAAGGTGGGACAACTTGAAGCAAAGGCAGGAAGACTCCAAGTTGGGGGAGCTTCCAGGTCACAGATAGGTGATACACAAACGGTTACATTCTTTTGAGTTTCTGATTAGCCTTTCCAAAGAAGGCAGTCAGATACGCAGCTATCTCAGTGAACAGAGGGGTAACATTGATAGAATGAGAGGCAGATTTGCCCTAAGCAGTTTCCAGCCGAAGTTTTCCTTAGTGATTTTGGGGGCCCACGATATTTTCCTTTCACAGTACTTTCTTCAAAGGACTATTTTGAGATCATAGCAGCACAAGCTCAGTAAATATTAGCAGTTATTTCTTGTCAACATTATTAATATGCTACAATAATCTTATTTGTAGATTCTTCAAGAATGTTTCATTCTTAAATTTTCTGTACCATATAAAACTAAAGGCTAATGTTTTGGCAGTTTTATATTTTTAGGCCATTGTTCAACATTCATGACTAATTTGAATTTTAGTTTTTTTTTTTAAACTCATCTATCAAGACCATATATCTGTATCTAGCTGTATGTGGCATTAATTTTTAAAAAACATATGTGTTTATCCCTTTTTAGGATTTACTGAAGAGATGCAGCTCAAAGTCCATATCAAAGTCCACATCACTTTTTGAAACAGCATGGGAAGCAAAGGCCATGGCAGTAATAGGGTGTTTATCTGACACTGATGTAAGTAAATAGTGACCATATGTATTTTGCTTTTGAGCATTAGATCTTTTCTGAAAGCTTTTTTCTCTTCATAAAACTGGCACATATTTGTTTTTGTTTGAGATGGGGTCTGGCTCTGTTGCCCAGGCTAGAGTATAGTGACATGGTCATGGCTCACTGCAGCCTCAACCTCCCTGGCTGAAGGGATCCTCCCACCTCAGCCTTCTGAGTAGTTGGGACCATAGGCACGTGCCACTACGACTGGCTAATTTTTGTATTTTTTGTAGAGACAGGGTTTCCCCATGTTTCCCAGGCTGATCTCGAATGCCTGGGCTCAAGTGATCTTGCCCTCTTTGTCCTCCTAAAGCATCTGTTTTCTTTAATTTCAGAAAATAAAAAGTGATTGTTTTCTCTTTTCCCCTAGGAGAAACCTAGGTTCTCACCCCTAGGAGAACCTCCATGCATACCTTTCCAGGCTTTTCTGTGGTTATGCAAACATGGAGACTTGACTTTTCTTTTTCAGTTATTCCCTGCAATGTGAGACATTTTAAAATATGTTGTAATGTGCCTTTATTTTAACTTGGCACTGTTATTAGTTACCACTATAAAATATAAATAAAATAATGAAAACTGCTTTTAAACCAGAGACTGAGGCTGGACACAATGGCTTATGCCTATAATCCCAGCACTTTTGGAAGCCAAGGCTGACAGATCACCCGAGCACAGGAGTTTGGGACCTGCCTGGGCAACATGGCAAAACCCTCTCTTTACAAAAAAATACAAAAATTAGCTGGGTGTGTTGGTGCACACTGGTAGCCCTAGCTACTTGGGAGGCTGAGGTGGGAGGATCACCTGAGTTCGTTAAGTTGAGGCTCTACTGAGCCATAATTGCACCACTGCACTCCAGCCTGGGCAATGGTACAACGCTGCGTCAAAAAAAAAAAAAAAAAAAAATCCCAGACATTGTCGAGACCCTAGAAAGCAATCAAGCTGCATTCTTAGCTTACAGTAGGCAAAATACTCTTCTGAATTTTTCTAAATAGCCAAATTATTCTCTGTATGTGAAAACTGAAGAACTATATGGTTTTCCAGTGAGTGGATGAAATATTTTCAAACTACCATGTGGTTGATGTAAGAGCTCTGCTCATTAACCTGTGCTGTTCACTTACATGCATCGTAAACCTGAGGGCTATTTCTTGTCCATGCGTGCATCTCTTTGTAGCTCATATTTGATGCAGTGCTCAAGATCATGTATGCAGCAGTGGTTCCTTGGAGTGCAGCTGTGGAGCAGCTGGTGAAGCAGCACCTCGAAATGGACCATCCCAAGTAAGATTACAGTCTACCAAACAAATGATTTTGTGCTTTGGAGAAACGTGTTTTGAGTTGACATTCATTTATGTTCTTATATTGTTTACTGTGTCCCTTATGATCCATGTTAATATCGATAAATTTGCTTTTAGAGTCAAGTTATTACAGGAAAGTTACACGCTAATGGAGATGAAAAAACTTTTACGAGGCTATGGAATAAGAGAGGTGAATCTCTTAAACAAGGAAATAATGGTAAGTACACTCTTTGAAGAGTCTTTTTTCTCTTTCCTTTCATTTCTAGGGCAACATGGGAAATTTAAGGAGGATTTTATATTCTAGGAGGCTAATGGAGCCAGGTTTTTTCACTACATTACTTCTGTTAGATATAATATTAAAAAGTGTTCAGTTATTTATGAGAGTATTAAAGACAAGAAATAGTAAAATGAAGAAGCTAAAGAAGAAAGAAGACAGGACTGTGGAATGATCAGAATATAAATCATGTTTTAATCTTGAATACAATTTAGTTTTTTGCTGCCCCCTTTTTTTTTTTTGACACAGAATCTCACTCTGTCGCCAGGCTGGAGTGCAGTGGCGCGATCTCAGCTCACTCAACTTGCCTTAGCCTCCTGAGTAGCTGGAACTACAGGCACACGCCACCACACCCAGCTAATTTTTGTGTTTTTTTTTTTTTTTTTTT